TACTACTGCACTACTCTTCCTACTACTACTACTACTACTACTACTACTACGACTTATAGTACACTACTACTACTACACTACTACACTACTACTACTACTACACTACTACTACTACTACTACACTATTACTACTACTACTACTACTACTACTACTACTACTACTACTACTACTACTACTACTACTAATACTAATACTACTACTACTAATACTACTACTACTACTACTACTACACTACTACTACTACTACTACTAATACTACTACTACTAATACTACTACTACTACTACTACTACACTACTACTACTATAACTAGACTTGAATTCGTCACTGAGACGAACTAGGTGATACGTATCCTAATTTACGTAATGAAGGAAAGGGAACTTTTTTGTTCACAATTGTCATTTTATAATTTGTTTTAAATATTTTGTATCACAGGTTTACCAAATTTTGAGTGCATATCCTGAATGGCTAGTTAGATACTAAACAATTAAATGTTTGACCTTTGACCCTTATTGACATATTCAAAACAATATTTTCGTGATTTAACGTTTTTTTTATTAATGAACCACATATTCTGGTCTCCAGGTTTGCAAAATTTCCAGTATGTAACATGAAGGTTATTGAGATATTCTGTCCTGTCATGTTCCACGTCTCCCAAGAACCTATGCTTTACAAGCTATGCTTTTCTATAGGTTCCTGCACACTTCACAGTTTTGTACTTTTCTTGTCTAGGTTTCCTTTTAATAACATGATAATAGTCGGCAAACATATTTGGTAATACATAATTTGATAGTCTGATTAATTTATCAATTACTATCATAATTTTTAATTTATTATGAGACAATAATGTCTTTTATGTATATTTTGTTATATGCATCGAATCGGCATGTGCAATGTGAAACCAATAAAATCAAACTCGATAACCTTGAATATTATCATCGGCGAGGAGGCAATAAGCAATCTGCTATTGTTTGATCCCCGTTGTTAGATTATTAATCATGTTAATAATGTCCTATTGAATAACGGTTCTTTTTGTCATAATTGATCCATTGCACTTAAGAGTTATCATGGTCATGTATGATTATTTTCATCTGAGGACACCTCCTCCCCACACACACACACACACACACCCACCCACACACGCACGCAAACACACACACCCACACACACACACACACACACAAAACAGTCATTAGCTATAGATATTGATTAATAAATCAATCCATTGTTTGGTAGCGAGTCCTAAGTTATACATACGTAATAGTTAGGATTGTCAGGGTTAGGTTCAGAGTTAGTATTAGGCATAGTGTAACGTTTGAATAGAACCAATGATGAATACATCACTTGGGTTGGCAAGGGAAAATAAAGATGACATGTATTGCATAAAGCTGGGGGCATCCGGTCGTGTTTCGAATCCCGGGTTCGTTTGGGTAAATTCAAGGATACTAAACCACTTCACCACAGACGTTTGTACTCTTGAGTTGCATGCGATGATTTCTCTTATATAAGTTCCCCTCTTTCCCTGTCTCTGCGTCCTCTTTCTTTGTAAGCACAGAATGCCTCCAACAAAATAATCGGTAGAAGAATCGAAATAAAATTAATAAAATCGATGAGGAATGGTTGTCCGTTATATGGAAATAACAATCGACAAGTTCGCCCATTATCTTCCAATCCTCTTGAAAAACGTTTTCAGTCTCTTCTCTCTCTCTATTTCTCTCTCTCGTTCTCTCTCGTTCTCTCTCTCTCTCTCTCTCTCTCACTCTCTCTCACTCTCTCTCTCTCCCCTCTCTCTCTCTATCTCTCATTCGCTCTCTCTCTCTCTCTCCCTCTCTCTGTCTCTCTCTCTCTCTCGCTCTCTATTACCATTTATTTCTCTCCCTGCCTATATATGACTTTACAGTTACACTCTAAATCGAAATCGTGTCAATACATTCCTCGAGAGCCTTTAAATGTTTAATAAGAGAAAATCACTGAAAGATGGAAATGGTAATCATGCTTTTGTTTGGTACTGACAGGGTAAGTTCCACTTTTCAGGGACATTTTCAAACCATGACGTCATGTCTTAAATTTCTTAAATAACACTATCCATTCTTACCCTACTCGAAATTCATTAAACTTTCATTTGATAAAATACTAAATTATTGATCCTGCGTAGATCAATCAGACACCGTGCTCCAGATTTATGGAATGCACTCCCAGACTCAATAAATTAATGAAAGCCTTAAATTCATTTAAATTTAATATGAAGAAAGCATTTCTGTCAGAGTACATTGTTTAATCTTTTCCCAGTGCTGATTAACTATTAAATACTGTTTCCAGATTTTATATAAACATCCATCACTTTATTTTATAATTCCTGTATACTAAAGGTTTTCTGAGTCAGACATTTTACATTAACATATTTTCATTTTCATTCTTATCATCATTATCATCAACATCATCACCATCATCATTTAAACACAAATCTTTTAGTCATCCACCTCGCCCCGAGAGTTCAGGTTATCAAGCAAACGCTTATGTGATAGCCCTTCTTCTTCTGCAGATTTATAAATGAATAATTCGTGATAGTGCGTTATCAGTTGCATTTGGTTTTAATGTCAACATTTCTGTTATTACTATATTGTGTACACGTTCAATATTTTGTATATGTTGTATCGTTGAAATGTAATTTGATTTGTATGTTTTGCATCAGAAAATGCATTCAATTCAATGCCTGTATTGTAATGATTGGGCTAGTTTGCAGGCAAAAACCCTTGTCGTTCGTTTTTCTTAACAGCGTCTGCACTATGAGACTATGCTGACGATATACTGCATAGTCTCTATACTTTAGCTGCTCAGGGCACAGCATGAGACTGACAGAGCTAGGCTCTACCCAAGGCTTGATACATTTTTGTGGTAAAGTGTCAAATTAGAGCCTGTGCCAGCAGACTAGGCGTGGTCGCCCCACGCTTTGAATATTTGACGCCCTTTTCTCCTGGAGACTTTAGATATACTAGCCTAGAAACCCATAAAAAGCACAAGGTGTTTACTTGTATATTGATGGCGTTCCCTTAAGACGTACTAGATGACCATGTAAATCGATAAATGAAAATAATTGAATAAAAGGGAAGTTTAATAACGATTTTTTTTTTCTCTCTCTCACTTTCTCTTTGCAGCTGTGAAAACAAACAAGTTGCATACTCAAGATAGACATAGGAAGGGAAAGGGAGAGAGGGAGGTGAGAAGGAGAGAGAGAGCATGGGAGAGAGAGAGAGAGAGAGAGAGAGAGGGAGGAGAGAAAAAAGAGAGAGAGAGAGAGAGAGAGAGAGAGAGAGAGAGAGAGAGAGAGAGAGAGAGGGGGGACTGTGAGAGAAGAGAGAAAGAGAAGAAATAAAATAAAAAGAGGAACAGAGGTATGTAGATAAATAGATAGATGGAGAGAGAGGGGAGAGGGAGGATAGAAAGAGAAGGAGGAAGTGGGGAAAAGAAGGAAAAAGAGGAGTAGAGATAGAGAGATAGATAGAGAGAAAGAGAAAGAGAGAATGTGAGAAAGAGAAAGAGAGAGAGAAGAGGGGGAAGAGAAAGATAGGGCGAGGGAGACTGTGAGAGAAGAGAGAAGGAGAAAAAGAAACGAAAACGAGAAGAAGAGGAAGATAGATGAATAGATAGATGAAGAGAGAGCGAGGGAGAGAGAGAGAGAGAGAGAGAGAGAGAGAGAGAGAGAAATAGAAAGAGAGAGAGAGAGAGAGAGAGAGAGAGAGAGAGAAAGAGAAAGAAGAGAATAAAAACTTTTGTCAAGAGGATGGGAAGAAATGGGCGAACTTGTCGATTGTAATTTCAATATAACGGACCACCTATCTTATCGATTTTTTTAAACTTCGATTTTCTTTTTTCGGAATACTGATTATTACTTAGGAGGGATTCTGTGCTTACTCGGATCGATCTAACAAGCGGTCTTTTGTTACAAAACAAATAGTCTGGTATGTGTTCAGAAGAGAGAGTTTCAATCAATCGATGAACATTAGGTCAGAAATTACGAGGACGTTCGAGAGAAAAAAATCAACCCAAAAGGCGAATTTGAATGCCATGTTTTATAATTCGTGTTCAGACCTTTAAGAAGTGATGGGCAAAGCTATGGAAATAGCTTTAGTTGTTATTTGGCAGTTCTTTGACATCGTGTTTTATTATGACGGTTTAACTTGTTTGCAATGATTGAATTAAAAAAAAAAAACTAATCACAAAATAGGTAAATTAAGAAGCATAAATAGTTAGGTAGAGCAGAAGGCATCTGTGATACTAGCAGAAGACAATTGGAAATGAAATTCAATTAAAGATATGGTCATTAATAAGATTGAAAAAAAGAAGTTATATGCTGATATTCAAAAAAAAAGTTCAGAGCAAAATACTTGAAGATATATTTATAATGAACTTCTCCAAGGAAAATTGACAATAATAAATAACAGAATAAAGGGAAAGAAAATAAAGGATGCTCTCAGAATAAGTACAAAATAAATGATGCTGTCAAATCGGCAATTGGAGAAAAAACAAAACTGTTGACTTGGAAAGAAAACATAGTGCACTTAATGAGCCTGATAAAGACATGATGCGAATATAGCAAGATTGAAATACCGCTATGAACTTTTTAAAAATAATTATAGAGTAAACATACATACAAAAGCAAATTAAGGGAGTAAAGAAAAGTGGCTTTTATAGACGAGTGGTCTTGATGGTGTAAGTTCATTTAATACAATCATGTTTAAATACGTGGTCTTTAAAGACAGGTGGTATTTCTATAAAAGTGGTCAAATAACACAGGTTTGACCGATGAAAAGTGCTGTCTGAACATGCCTACCACAGTACTGAATACTGGGATGACTTCACCTCCCATTCGAAAAAAGAGGGCGATCGATTATTGCTTTAAGATTCTTTCACGCATACGTATACATGGTGTAACTTAGGGTCATCATATTTCTGAAGTGTACTTAGAAACGCTGAAGTCATCACACACTGCGCATTAAAAGAAAAGTAGCGATATATATAAAGGAAGAGTTGATCAGTGCGTGGAGTTATTCGGTAGCCTGGTCGCCGCTGCAGCAGCTAATAGTGTCTTCTCTACATCATTAGCCATCGGGATCCTCTGTTGAAAAGGTCAGACGAGACTCATCCAATTGTTTGCGTTGGTAACTCCCGCCTGAAACATCGCTTTAGACGCGACTACATTGTTGCATGTTAACTTGCGGTTAGGAACATATTCATACCAATCACGTCAAACCACACAACATTCACTGCTTCACATCGGAGTATTGCAGCATTTTGATGCCACGTTTTGGGGGAAGAGGCAATTTTGCGACATAGCTACAGGATTAAACAAATTCTTCTGGTGTTAACCCACGCCGAATTCGACTATGAAGTACGAAGTGGTGTCGCCATGGGTCTTTCTGTTCGTCGTCATCGTCGTCCTGATCGACCAGGGTCGTGCAGATTCCAGCGTCCTAGACGAGGAGTAAGTATAATTATCCTCTTGACTCGATTTGTTATCACTTGTATTATACCAGCAACTCTGTGCAGGACACGAAAAGTAGGTCATCTTCTGCAGCTGTTATAAAACAATCTATAGACTATCATGATATTGTGATTCATTATGAAAACTTATGATAATGTCACAAATCCATATTTATATATAACACCTTCCATTTGATGTTCTTTTGCATTCCCATTGTTAGCCTAATATACAGTCAGGTCTATTAAAGTTGGACTAACGTGCATGCTACGTAATCAGTTGTCGATATGAAGGGCATGCAATTAGCCTCAGATAAAACCTACCCGTTCGCCAAGAGCATCCAATTTGATATGCATACACATTTGAATATATGCGGAACCCGGTCTACTTATTGTAAACATATAATAGCATGAGTATGACGGACGTTTATAATGGCAAAGTAAGTTCGAGTTTGAGTTTATTGGTTTCACATTTCACATGCAGAAATAATACAGATAACAAAATATACATAAAAGACATATTTACAGTAGGCTTGCGGGTGCACCATATGAGAGAGAGAGAGAGGATTGAGGAGTCATGGAAAAGGAATCTGACTCGGTGATCTTTCTTGGGGGTGCGTAGTCCTGAAAAGGACTGTTTGTTATCTTTCTTAGCTTATAGTGCTAAGGAGAACTATAGCGCTTTGAGAGGATGAGGGGCTCGACGTTTCGAATAGGTTGACTACCCGTCGCCAGGAGTGGCCATAATCGAGCCAATGGTGCACCCGCAAGCCTACTGTATATCTACATCACCATGCAAGCCGACACTTACAAGCAGCATCAAAAGACATATTGTTTCATAATTAAAAAAAATAATCTTAGCAATTGACAAATTAATCAGACTACAAAGTTACATATCATCAAATTTGTTTGACAACTATTCATTTAGAGGAAACCCAGACAAGAAAAGTACAAACTGTGAAATGTGCAGGAACCGATAGAAAAGTAGAGCTTGTAAAGAATAGGTTCCTGGGAGACTTGAAAAAATGACAGGGACATAAAACGTTTACTTTTAAAGAGACGTACATAATTAAAAGTGAGACGGCAGTAATATGACAAATAATTTGTTACGGGTTCAATAAAATAAAATACAGAAGAAAAAAACTACACTAAAACGAAGAGGAGTAACGAGCCAATAAATAGCAGAGTATGAACCTATTTCCACCACATGTTTGCACCACCTGAACGTTTATAAAAACCGAACACTAGAAGTCATGAATTATTCATTCCTTTCCTGTTAACCAAGGATATAACTTTGTAGGCTAATAATATATGATATATTAACATGTGAGGTATAAAAATATAGGCCTCTACAGACAGAGCTGAGAGCTGAAAGAGTGAGAGAGAGAGAGAGAGAGAGAGAGAGAGGGAGAGAGAGAGGGGGATGGAATGGAAGGAGGGGAGCACAATGGTAAGATTCACATTTAGCACAAGTAGAGAAGATGAGATACAAAAGACGTAAATAATTATAAAGAAGAAAAAGTGTCACACTGGGTTCTTCCATGTATGTGTATGAAATAACTTGATGCTCACGTTAAAGGTAAAGACCAGTTATGGTCATGCGATTGCATTGTGAAAGAAAAGTTGTGGGATCGATCAGAAAAGGTTGATCATCTAGCATCTAGCATCTGCAAGGTTCTGGAATCATCAAAATGATAAGAAATTTGGCCCTTTCTTTGTAAAGTTACAAGCACTATACACAGAAAGATGTATATGGGACTACCCTATATCTCTCATGGACCATGAGAGAAACAAATTTACCAAATATATGAATTAGTAGGCGGTTTCCCGGCAAATTTTTTATCATCATGTATTAGTCAAAACATATTCTTTCACATGATTGGTAATGAGAGCTTCCATTTCATTTTTTGAAATTAGGGCATTTCCAATACTGGTCTTTACCTTTAAGTGCATTTCGCATGTAAGAATACAGATTTTACAGTTGTATAACGGGATGTGTGGAATAGGGTCATTATTGACCGCCCATTGATCCGAAGTCTCTACTTAATTTAATTTACATACACTTATTATATTAGAGCAATGCTATCTTGAAAGCTCATATGCCACGAAGGCCATATGATAGACTGCTGTTTACCATATGAGCATTGTGAATTTATGAACACGAACAGACACACACATAGTCTACATACATATGTTTGGATCATACATAAGAAAGTAGGGGCATTGTGTTGTTTGATACTTCGTAGGGCCCAATCGTTGCAGCAAATATACCTGAAATATGTTACTACTACTACTACTACTACTTCTACTGATACTACTACTATTACTACCACTACTACTACTACTACTACTACTACTACTACTACTACTACTACTACTACTACCACTACTACTACTACTATTACTACTACTACAACTACTACAACTACTACCACTACTACCACTACTATTAATACTACTTCTACTACAACTACTACCACTACTATTAATACTACTTCTATTTCTACAACTGCTCCCATTAACAAGAATGATAATACTAAAAATTATAACAAATAAAAATAGGAATAATAATATTAGTAGTAATAACAACAAGAACAAGACATTTACAAATAATTATAGTATTGATAATAATAATGTTAAATAGATTGAACTCTATCGAAGAAATCACAGACAAAGATAACATGAAAACATTATGAAGGATGTAAATCACCATGGTTTAGGACGACGAGGTGATTTAAAAATGCATTACAAGTAATAAAGATAACACTAACAATATATAAATACATAAGTAGTAATGTGAAGGCATGAATAACCTTGAAGGTTGCTGTGAACCCCATTGTGTATTCGTTTAAAAAATGACCTAGTCCATCACCATGATCAGATGATAGCAGCAAGAGTTTAAAAGGACATCCAACTGTGCTGGTGTAGATGATATCATTCCTGAGACCCTTGATCTATTAACTGTTACATCCCACTTGGCTGAGGCGGATCTCGGGGAAGGATTGTTGGGGCGGGGGGGGGGGGGGGGGGGGAGTGCCCCTTAGGAGAGGGAGGAGGAAGAAAACTCGGTGACTTTTCTCCCCCCCCCCCCTTTTTTGTGCTTGCCAGATAACTCTGGAGCCAGAACCCGCCACCGAAAACGTATTGACTTTTGTTTGTTTTGTCAGGGAATTTTTGGAATTGTGCCCCCCTCCCAGATAATTCAGCTCCCCCGAATTCCATCCTCCTCATTAACCATTGCCCTTTCCCACGCATGGAGTCACTCAACATCACTGAATGTTTTCATGTGATGCGTTAATTAACGCTCCTCAAAGGCGGCGCAAACATGCTGTGGAAAAAGAAGAAAAAAGGTGACATCGGTTCCCGAGGCAAGAAAATGTTGTGCACCGTCCACATAGACGCATAATCATCTTGAAATTGCATAGTGGACGCAGTTTTTAATCAAAGCTGATGCACACAATAATTATGCTTTAAGCAATGCACGAGCAACGCGGAAGCCTTCTCAAAGGGTATAACGCTGTCAGACAAATGGCCATATAAATTAAGCGAGTTCGTAAATAGCCACTGGAGTCGTATGACGTCAACGTGTCATAAGTCACATGAACATGAACTCGCCCGTTCACTCGTACGCTCTGCGTAATGTACATAGGGCTACGTGAAAAAAATGTGCAGGCGTTCTTCCTACACTGTTTAGTGTATGTTTTACCGACGGTTCCCCGTGATTTCTGTCTTTTTATTCATCGAAAATTCCTACAACAGTTGTTGGAATGGATTGTGGAGGCTCCTTCGATAGATGATGTGGACCGTCAATCAAATTTCTCATAGAGGGGGACTCGGATCACGAGGAGAAAAGCGAATTCTCGTCTGAAATTTATGCACATATTTCAAAGTTGTATGGATGTATTACTAAAACCAAGACGTATACTCTGTTTAGCTCTTATTCAATGTTTATTTGACTATGCTAACCCTGCATGGTATAGTAACATAAACAAGTCAGATCAAAAGAAGTTGAAAATTATACAGAACAAAGTGGTGAAATTCATCAACTGTTCTGGTCAAAGTTGGCTACATCGAACTTTCTAAAGCTGGTTTTCTTGAAGTCGACCAAAGATCAAAACAACTCGTATTGTACCACGTGCATACCATATATCATACTCGGTCGAATCATTATATTCGATCCAACTTCGATCTTGTTACTGACTTACATGATTATAATACAAGAAATAGCCGATTCAACTTTAACTTACCAGAAAGAGTAGTACTGGAAATTCGTTTTATTACATTGCCATAACACTGGAATTCCCTTCCGAATGATATAAAGGAAATATAAAACCTTGCTCGTTTTAAGAGAAAATTAAAGAAATACCTAACACTTGACATTCAGAGGAGGAGAGCAAATGACATGTTATATGATAGCCTGAATACAGATTTTTTTTCTTCTTCTGCCTGTTCATACTTTTTAATTTTGCATATACTTATGCTTTGGTACGTTTAGAAATTCTACATAATTATTCATCATTATTTTCCTCTTCTTCCTCCTCCTCCTCATCCTCTTCATCCTCTTTTTCTTTTTCTTCTTCTTCTCCTTCTTCTTTTTGTTCTTGTACTTATTATCATTTCTATCGTAAGTTTAAAGGTACTATGCCCCTTTTGCAGCCAACCTCAAATTCTGTAGAACTTTGCAGGAATTAAGAATATGTCATGTATGTCCTGTCTGTGTAATTTAAACGTTAGCAGTGTCCTAATATTCAAATTACGCAAGGAAACCTGTTTTTACTTGCTAGACTTCACTGTCAGACACTATTGAGTGACTGACTTGCTTTTTCTTCTTTGGTAATAACAAACATAAAATGAGCTGTAAAGGATACATGAGCATTTGTCTACATCAATAACCCACTTCTTGTGATGGCCACAATTAACTGATTGAATCTTTGCGCAGCATAAAACGTATGACCATTCGGTACAATGGTCTGAAAAATCAAGGCTATTGCTTATTGGCTCTAT